TTCTCTTGCCCTTACAATTAACCTCCCTGATGTATCCCCTCTCTACCCATCTAAACAAGCAGCTGTTCCAGTCTTTTCTCACATGACGACAGGCTTGCTATTTCCCAATCTCTAGAAGCCCTTTCTTGCACCTGATCTAGCCTGTGCTCATCTTTTTTTTTTCTTTTTAAGACATTACGCAGAGCAACATGGTTAGCTCCTAATCCATTTCACAATTCCAGCACTAAACTGCATCTTCGCTAGCCTCATTCGTATTTGCGTCTGTAGCACCACATCAGATGCTGTAGGACCCATCTACAGTAAGACATGTCATCCCATTAAGAAAAATGCATATCAAGTTAAGAAAATTGGCTAGAGACAGACAGGCTGATATGGCACAATCCTATTCTGATGGATTTGTGTTGCCTTTTATCTCATTTTTCATTTGTGTCCAAGCCTTTAATTACTATTGTTGTCTCAAATTTTACATACAGCTGAGGTTGGACCAACAGGTCTGTATTTATTCAGATCATCCCCCACCGTCATTAGGGCTATCACGCTTCCTGTTCTCCAAATATCTGATAGCACTCCTGATTTGATAGATTAAAACTTGTATCAGATCTGCAACTTCAGGAACTGGTTCTTTCATTTTCAGGAACAGGTACCACTGTTCCCAAGGCAACCCTGCTCCCCAGCCCAGCCTGCATGCACTAGGGTCTTTGAAATGTCCAGTGTGGTGGCTTCTACAGCAGGTTCCTGCCCATTACCCATCCTGCCTTTGCTCCCATGATCAACTCTACCTCCAACAACAAAAGGTTTGTTTGATTTTGTGATCACAAGAGTATCCTCATTAATTACACTATCCTCAACACTAAGTAGCCCCACATCTTCCCTTCTCTCTAATTGTATTTTGAGAAATCATCACCCATTTTCTTAGTAACATTTGCAAGGTTGGCAGTTCTCACTTTATCCCTACAGTTCCTGACTTCAAAGGCACAGCAGTCTCTGCTGATAAGTCCTTTTTCCATCCCTTGTAAACTCTTTTTGCACCTAATAGCCTTTATAAGGTGATTGTGCCTCCAGTTAGGCTGAAGTTTCTTCTTACAAGCTTTTTCCCCTTTACTTGTATCATCAAGAATTTGTACCCAAAGTACCTCTAACAACAACAACAAAAAACCCAAACCACACACCTCTACATTCAAGTTTCCAATCTAGTTCACTGACTTCATTAAATATTTTGCTTCATGTATCAAAGTTTGTATCATGATCACCCCATCCAAAGGTGGGGACATGGAGGCTTCTAAACAGCTTGTTTTCCTGTAATAGTCACAGCACCAATAATTCACTCACTGTCTCAACAACAGGTGATGATGCTAGTGTCAATCTTTTGACCCTATTATTATTAGCAGCATTTGTTCTCCAGGCTGTATCTGAGAAATTAAAGTTTCTCATACTAATATTTATCTCTCTAATGGTACTGGGAATAATATCATTTCAGAGCCTCAAGTTTGTATCTGAATCCAATCCTACGAGGGATTACAGCAGAATCACAGTACTCCCTCTGGGACCTCTTTTTACCATTCTTCCCCACAGCAATTTTGACCAGAAACAGATCCTGCATTATCAGTATTACTCTTCTTTCTTCTTTACAGTCTACTGCATACAATACAGCCTATGACCTTTTACATCTACCCTATCTGAACCACACATAATCTTGAATGCATGTTAAAGCCGTGATTACTATTCTTGCAGATTGATATTATCCCTATAATATCCAGTTTCATGTTCTGCACCAGTAGCTCTGGTTCCTCTACTTGTTATTTCTAATGCCAGGAGCCTGAAAAAAACAACCCTGGTACGTTTGTGCATTTACCAATCACACAGCTCCCAGCCCCCTCAACTAAGAGTATCACCCATCTAGTTACTGCTGAATTTTATTATTCTTTTTAAAACATTGAATTTTATTGTTTTCCATCTCCTACCTACCCATCGCTTTGTCCAGAGATACTGTTTTACATGCTGCTGTAGCAGCATTTACCTAATTTTCCTCTTTCTGTGTGCTAAGCAAGGCATG